GTTTTTAGATTCACGTCTGAGCTGGATGTCGTCAAGTACATTTGCACTGAATTTTGGAAATCAGCCTTCAGAAAGCAAGTAAATTCCCTGAAGACAAATCACCAGGTGAGTATTCCCGTGTGAATTATGCCCAGGGTCTCTACGTGCTTGGTGATGAAGAGTTCTCGTTTCTTGTTAATATTTCAAATACCCGACAGTATCTTACAGAGATTGACAAGGTTTGTGCATCGTTATCTCACTATAGTATCTTGCTTTCCCTTGCGGTCTTATAAGAGGTGCTCTTTGCAGCTTGGGTCTAACCTGTGTTGTTAGCGCTGAAATTGAGGAGCCGCCCAAATGCAAATTTAGCGTCAGATTACTGCCAAACGAGGAGGTGTACAGTAATTGAGTGAATCAATCCAACACTGTGATCTTAACCAGTCTACATTTCTGTTCTTGCTGTTGCATGATAGCTTATATCTGCTAATAAATCCTCATGACTACGTCTTGTTACCTATTATCCCTACTCCCGCAATGGACCCAGATAAACTTTTATACCAATTTTCGGCAGTGATGCATTTTAAGACAGGCGAGTAGCATAAAGCTCAGGCAGTATTACGTGCGATCCGCAAAGGGTTATGGAAACGCAACGCCAACTGGCGTTGCCAAACGCGTCATGAAGAGCATGGAAGGAGACTCGATCCAAACGAGAAGCAGGACAAATTGCGGCAATTACTCCTGGCCTACCAAGGCCGTTGTCCGAAATTGCCACCAAGTATCCGCATGTCAGCAGCACGTTTAATTTTCGAGTTCCTTAAAGGCCTGATCCACAATACCCTAAGACAATTAAGGATAGGCTCGAGGTTAACGTCGAGTTTACCTAATCGGCCAGGACTCGTCTGTCATGTTTGTTAAGTCCTTTAATTCGTAATAGTCCCGAATATTTCGTGCCGACCCGAGATAGATAATCAGGACAGGTTCTGCTCGGGTATTATGTCCCTGCCAACTGCTTCGCATTTAAGATTTGTTCGATGGCTACTGGTAAATACGTAGTGGCCAGCATAAAAATTACCTTGCCTCAGTCCGAATCCTACGACTCAGAATGGTTACGATGCGTAGGGCACGGACAACAATTTCTATAATGCACTGCCACCCAGAGGGTAGAGCAGACAACCATGCCAGGGTAAGCCAAGCCAAATGTGGCACCCAGCTTGGATGAAGAGTAAAAAACGGAGCCATTTGGGTGGGCTTTTAAAATAAAACAGAGTTAGGTCCGGCAGCCCCATAGGAGACCAAGCAAGTATAGAAAAGGAGGGACGGTTTCCGTGACAATGCCGTAGAACGGGGACATTGAAGCAGGCGCAGATACTACCGGCAAGCAAGGCTGAGGCCCCCATCAACCCAAGTAATAATCAACAAACTGAAGGGAACGGTAATAGATAGAAAATAATGCAATTTTCGCAATTTAAGAGGTATGCTACTCGGCAAATACATCGCACCTCAGTTCCCGAAGAAGCCAAATTGCGAACACCCGACAAGGCGCCTGGGCTAGTAAGCACGCCGTGCCTGATAAAGCCATAAGATAAAATAGGAGTGGACGATAAGGGCAATATGTAAATCGGAGTAAGTAATTTTAATAATCAAGTGACCTGGGGCTATAGCTAGAATAAGGGAGTAGACGTTCAATTCGTTAGTGGCTAGGGGGAGGAGAGCTAATCATAGTAAGAGGAGACTTTATCAACCAATTGGGAATCAGCAGTCTAGCATATTCTACTTCTCGAACAAATGCAATTATTTAAACAATATATAATGTCTAAAAAAAATTAATATAAATCTTTAAATTGCTTTTTTTGAGAGTAGTTACATAATATTTTATTTTTAAGCATGAATTTACGTTTGCACATTTAAACTTATAATAAGGAGGAAATACTGTTAATTCTTGCAACTTAATGTCGTCTGTCCAAATAGAAAAACGTTATATTAAGTTTAATGTATTAAAATATTAAAATAGGTGTATTTGCATATGCCACCAGCATTCTGCAATTGGATTGGTTACTAGAATGGCGATCTTCTATTGGCTAGGAATTTCGAAAGTTTTAAGCTATAGAAACCTGAATCTTCTAGACTTATTGCTGTGTATATATATATATACACGGCCTCCTTTCTCATTCCATTTTCCTCCTTTCCGCTTTCATCATGTCCAAGCCCCCTGCTATTGGCATTGACCTCGGCACTACCTACTCATGTGTTGGTGTATTCCAGCATGGCAAGGTTGAAATTATCGCAAATGATCAAGGCAACAGGACCACTCCTAGCTATGTCGCCTTTACTGACACCGAACGCCTAATCGGTGATGCTGCAAAGAATCAGGTCGCCATGAACCCTAGCAATACTGTCTTCGACGCCAAGCGCTTAATAGGCAGACGGTTCGAGGATGCTCCCGTCCAGGACGACATGAAGCATTGGTCCTTCACCGTCGTTAGCGAAGGAGGGAAGCCGAAGATCAAGGTTAACTATAGGGGCGCCGATAAAACCTTCTATCCCGAAGAAATCTCTTCCATGGTTCTCATCAAGATGAAGGAAACCGCGGAAGCGTATCTCGGCAAGACTGTCACCGACGCTGTTGTCACTGTTCCGGCCTACTTCAACGACAGTCAGCGTCAAGCTACTAAGGATGCTGGTACGATTGCCGGTCTGAATGTACTCAGGATAATCAACGAACCTACGGCCGCTGCTATTGCCTACGGCTTAGACAAGAAGATAGGTTGTGAGCGTAACGTCTTGATCTTTGATCTTGGCGGTGGCACCTTCGATGTCTCCATATTGACAATCGAGGATGGTATCTTCGAGGTCAAGTCCACGGCCGGTGACACCCATCTCGGCGGTGAGGACTTTGACAATAGAATGGTCAATCATTTTGTACAAGAGTTCAAGCGAAAGTACAAGAAGGACATCACTGATAACAAGCGAGCAGTCCGACGTCTTAGGACGGCTTGTGAACGAGCTAAGAGGACTCTCAGCTCCAGCGCGCAGGCCAACGTTGAGATTGATTCCCTCTACGACGGCATAGACTTTTACACCTCTGTCACCCGAGCTAGGTTCGAGGAGCTGAATGCCGATCTCTTCCGCAGCACTCTGGATCCGGTCGAAAAGTCCTTACGCGATGCAAAGCTCGATAAATCCGCCGTTCACGATATTGTACTAGTCGGTGGCTCTACTCGTATCCCCAAGATCCAGAAGCTCTTACAGGACTTCTTCAGCGGCAAGGAACTGA